GTTGAGAGACAGACATGGAAGAAATTGAAGTGCATCCGTACTGACAATAGCGGTGATTACCGTAGCCCATTTGATGAGTATTGCAGAATGCACGGTATTAGACATCAGAAAACTCCTCCTAAAACTCCTCAATTAAATGGCTTAGCAGAGAGGATGAATCGGACAATTATGGAGAGAGTCAGATGTATGCTTGATGACGCAAAGTTGCCTAGTTCTTTTTGGGTAGAGGCAATTTCCACAGCTGTTCATGTTATCAACTTATCTCCCGTTATTGCTTTGAATAATGAAGTTCCTGATAAGGTTTGGTGTGGAAAGGAAGTTTCTTATGATCACCTCAGAGTCTTCGGTTGTAAGGCATTTGTGCATGTCCCAAGAGATGAAAGATCTAAGTTGGACTCGAAGACTAGACAGTGCATTTTCATTGGTTATGGTCTTGATGAATTTGGCTACAAGCTGTATGATCCAGTTGAGAAGAAACTTGTGAGAAGCCGTGATGTAGTGTTCTTTGAAGATCAAACCATTGAAGATGTTGACAAAGTGAGAAAGCCAGAATCTCAAGACAGCGGAAGTTTGGTTGACTGTGAGCCAGTTTCCAGCAAAGATACACATGATGCTGATGAGGTTCAAGAGAATGGCCAGGACGGTGATCTTGTACCAGACAATCAGGATGATACAGCTGATGTGGATGGTCATGTTGATGATGTTGTGCACCAGGAACAAGAAGTTCCTTCGCAGGTTCCAGTTGATCCTCCTAAAAGGTCTAACAGGGAACAGAGACCATCTACTCGTTACTCTTCCAGTCAGTATGTGCTATTGACTGATGGGGGATAACCTGAGTTCTATGAAGAAGCTATGGAGAGTGAGCAAAAGAGACAATGGCTTGAGGCTATGCAGGATGAGATGAATTCCCTATATGCAAATGATACCTTTGAGTTGGTAAGGGCACCAAAGAACATGAAAGCTTTGAAGAACAGGTGGGTCTACAGATTGAAACATGAAGAGGGCACTTCAGTTCCACGATTCAAAGCTCGACTGGTGGTGAAAGGTTTTTAGCCAGAAGAAAGGTATTGATTTTGATGAAATTTTCTCTCCTGTTGTGAAATTTTCATCCATTAGAGTTGTGTTGGGTCTAGCAGCTCGTTTGGATTTAGAAATTGAGCAGATGGATGTAAAGACAGCTTTTCTCCATGGTGATTTAGATGAGGAGATATATATGGAGCAACCTGAGGGATTCAAAGTCAAAGGGAAAGAGGATTATGTTTGCAGGTTAAAGAAGAGTTTGTATGGATTGAAGCAAGCTCCGAGGCAGTGGTATAAAAAGTTTACTTCCGTTATGAGTAAACATGGGTACAAGAAGACTTCTTCAGACCACTGTGTTTTTGTAAACAGATTCTCTGATGATGACTTTGTTATATTGTTGTTTTATGTTGATGATATGATGATTATTGGTCGCAATGTTTCAAGAATTCAACAGTTGAAACAAGAGTTGAGTAAGTCATTTTCTATGAAGGACATGGGACCAGCAAAGCAAATTCTTGGGATGAAGATCATTCTTGACAGGCAAAACAAGAAGTTGTGGTTATCTCAAGAGAAGTATATAGAGAAAGTACTTGAAAGATTTAGTATGGATAAAGCTAAGCCAGTGAATACACCTCTTGGTATGCATTTCAAGTTAAGTAAGAAGCAATGTGCCTCTAGTGAGAAAGAGAATGAAGAAATGCAAAGAGTTCCCTATTCTTCAGTTGTTGGTAGTTTGATGTATGCCATGGTATGTACGAGACCAGATATTGCTCATGCAGTGGGTGTTGTTAGCAGATTTCTCTCAAATCCAGGGAGAGAACATTGGGATGCTGTGAAGTGGGTTCTGAGATATCTTCGGGGTACTTCAAGTCTGAGATTGTGTTTTGGTACAGAGAAACCTATTCTTGCCGGGTACACTGATTCAGATATGGCCGGGGACATCGACACCAGGAAATCTACTTCAGGTTATCTAATTACCTATGCAGGGGGAGCAGTTTCATGGCAATCAAGATTGCAAAAGTGTGTTGCTTTGTCTACCACTGAAGCTGAGTTCATAGCATCTGTTCAGGCCAGTAAAGAAATGCTATGGATGAAGAATTTTGTTCAGGAGCTCGGGTTTGTTCAAGACATGTATTTGCTCTATTGTGATAGTCAAAGTGCTTCATCTTGCAAAGAACTCCACGTTCCATTACAGATCAAAACATATTGACACGAGATATCATTGGATTAGAGATATCTTGGAGTGCAAGATGCTTGAACTTGAAAAGATTCACACTGATGATAATGGGTTTGACATGATGACTAAAGCTTTGCCAAGAGGGAAGTTTGAGGATTGTTGCTCTATCGCCGGGATGGCGATATCTTCCACATAGTCGGGTGGGGGAGATTTGTTGGGTTGGGCTTCCCTCCTATGTGGTAAATAGTCCATGTTTGGACCAAGCCAATTTGTATCCACTATATTTTTATTGAGGCATAATTATTATTATTATTATATTATAATAATAATAATAGAGATTATGAAGGTGAGGCGGCATGCTGAATTGGAGAAAAGGAAATTCAATTCCTTTTTGATTCCTTCTCCCAATATATATATATTTATATGCTTTAGGGATTAGGGATGAGAAAACTGATAGCATGACAGCAGGTCGGCAGTGAGGAGAAGTGGGCGAAATAATTTTCTTGCTTCATTCTCCATCTTTTTCGTTCGGCAGTTCGACAGCTCGATAGCTTTGGTCAGTTTCTTTGGTGCTTTTCCGTGATGTCTGCCAGGTTCTTGGGTGCTTTATGTTAAGCCAATATGTGGCTAGTATATCTTTAGTTGTTATTTATTCTATTTGTGCTCCTATAGACTAGTTGTATTTGGTTGTAACTTCCTGCTATCTTCACTCCTCCATGTAGGGGTGAGCATAAATACCGATAAACCGATAAAACCGATGACCGAATACCGAACCGATCGAAAATTTCGGTTTTCGGTCGGTCATCGGTTATGAGAACAAAAAAAATATCGGTTATTCGGGTAATCGGTTATTCTAGCGGTTATTGGAGGTTCAAAACCGCGGTTACCGAATAACCGACACTATATATATATATATATATATATATATATATATATATATATATATATATATATATATAATATAATATAATTATATAATTTAATTTAAGACATTAGATAGTATAGTATTAATGTATTATAGTAGACAGTATAGTGGGTAGACTGTAGACACGTGTAGAAGACTTAGAAAGTTAGAAGTCCTTTACCATCCGTCCGTCCCTCTCTCTTAGTCTCATTCTAACATTGCAATTCGCAACCCTAATCCACTGAACCACAAACGAAGCCGCTCCTCTCGGCTCTCGCAGTCTTTACCGTCCCTCTCCGGCAGTCCGGCCTCCGCGCCGCTACCTCTCCGGTCGAAGCCCTCGCCTCACCGCGTAGTAGCGCCGCCTCGCCGGTCGTCGCACCGCTCGGCTGTTCGCCGGTTATCGCAAATTCGTCGGTCGTCGCACCTCCAGCCAGTCAGCCTCACCTAAGATTCTTCAGCCCCTTCACAGTTCAGTTCACCCATCTCAGATTTCTCAAGGTAAGTTACATACTAATTTTATAATTTATATTTGTTGAATTTGAAGTCTTTGATAGTTCACAGTTCACTAGTTTCATTTATATAAACAAAATCATAGTGATATTTATTTTTAAAATTTTTACAGTGTTTTGGCTCCAGAAATCCTAGAAATCTAGATTCATCAGGCTCCAAAACTGAACAATTTATTCAAGGTAATTTTTAATTTTTGTTTACTTTAAATTTATATTAAAATATTGTTAACAATCTATTCAAGTTAAAATTTAAAACTGCAAAATGATAAGTTATGAAATGGTTAACAATGGCAGTAACTCTAAGCCAGTATGAAAATTTTAAGTTTTTAAGTTTGGCAGTATGAACTATGAACTTTTAATTTTGGATTTTTAGCAGTATGAATATTTCATAAGGAATTCTGCATTTATGGCAGTATGAACTTTTAATTTTGACAGTATGGTCTAGTAGTCTACATCAGTAGTTTGCCAATTGGGAACCTACTTTTAATCCAAACTTGTATCAGTATATGTATGTAGTATTAATTTCTGCATTTATCCAAAGAGACATCAAAGCAATCAAACTTAACAATTCAATTTATTTAAAGAAGACTAATTTGGCAGTATGAATAATTTTTTCAGTTTTTAATTTTAGTATTAAATTATTCTTTTAATTATAGATGTCAACAATGAGATCGATGCATATGGATGATAATATGGATGATGATTCAATTGAAAAAGAGCCAGAGATTGCACAAACTGTTGCAACGGAGGCAAATGAGGAAGTAAATCAATCTAAGAAAAGAAAGGTTAGCCGACACAGTTCTGAGGTATGGGAGCATTTTACTAAATTTAGTAATGAGAAATTTGAGCAAAAAGCTAGATGCAATTATTGTCAGAAAGAATTGTTTGCTGATCCTAAATTGAACGGCACTAGTTCACTAAAAGCCCATGTTAGAAGCTGTCCAAAAATGCCCTGTGCTAGTAGTGACCCTACCAAACTGAATTGCTTGAAGGGGAAGGATCACTAGGTTGTGTGAAGTATAGTGCTGAGGCACTTAGAAGGAGCATTGTTGAAATGATTATAAATCATGAAATCCCCTTCAAGTTTGTTGAATTTAAGGGTTTTAAAAAATGCTTGTCTATTGCTTGTCCAAGGTTTAAGGTTCCATCACGATGGACTATTGCTAGGGATTGTTATGGTATGTATTTGGATGAGAAGCAAAAGTTGTCTAAGTTTATCCATATGTCTTCACTTAGGGTATCACTTACCACTGATACTTGGACATCATTACAAAGGGAAAATTATATGTGTCTTACTTGTCACTTTATTGACAATAATTGGAGCTTGCAAAAAAGAATAATTAATTTTTGTCCAATTAATAGTCATAAAGGTGAGGATATTGGTAAGATGATTGAAAAATGTTTGCGTGATTGGGCAATAGACAAGGTTTTCACAATTACCGTGGATAATGCTAGTTCAAATGATGTGGCTACTCAATACTTGAAAAGGAAATTGAACAATGTTAGTGGAACTCTCTTAGAGGGCAAATATATTCACATGAGATGTGTTGCACACATTATTAATTTGGTTGTCACGGACGGGTTGAAGGAAGTGAATGAATCAATTACTCGTGTTAGATCCTCGGTGAAGTATGTGAGGCAATCACCGGCTAGATTGCATAGGTTTAAAGAATGTATAGACTTGGAAAAAATTCAATCTAAATCTTTGTTAAGCATGGATTGTAGCACTAGATGGAATTCTACCTACTTGATGTTAGATGCGGCCCAAAAATTTGAAAGAGCATTTGAGAGATTTGAAGAGATTGACCACAATTATAAGCATGAGCTTGTGTTGAATGGTGGCACACCCAAGGAAGAGGATTGGGGAAATGTTAGGAAAGTGAGCAAGTTTTTGCAACGTTTCTATGAATTCACATTGAAAGTTTCCGGAACTACATATGTGACTAGCAATGTTTACTTTCCTGAAATTTGTGAATTGTATTGTACTTTGTGTGATTGGATTAAGAGTGATGATGAACAGTTTAGCGCTATGGCTAAAAGAATGAAGGAGAAGTTTGAAAAATATTGGGGGAATGTTGAGAGGATGAATATGATACTTTATGTTGCAACTGTTCTTGACCCTAGAAGGAAATATGTGTTTGCTGATTTTTGTTTCAAGAGAATGTATTCACCTGATCAAGCTTCAGTATTGTCTTCTAACCTTAGAGATGCGACTAGTAAGTTGTTTGTTGAATACCATGGGTTGTTGAAAGTTTCACAAGGTGAGGGTAGCAATTTTACTCAACCAACGAGTGCCACTAATGCGGATGGGTCGAATAGTGATAGTCCACTAAACATTGTAACTGACTTTGAAAAGTATTTGGTTGAAATTGGACTTGGGTAGCAAAAAAACGAATTGGATAAATACATCAATGAAGAGCTTGATACTCAGAATGGTGGTGGTGAATTTGATATTCTCCGTTGGTGGAAAGAAAATGCTCATAGATTTCCCATTCTTTCATGCATGGCTCGTGATGTATTGGCAGTTCCTATATCAACTGTCGCATCTGAATCTGCATTTAGCACCGGTGGACGTGTGCTTGATACTTATAGGAGTTCATTAACTCCTAAAATTGTACAAGCTCTTGTGTGCACTCAAGATTGGTTACGAGAAGAAAATGTCATTTCAATGACTGATTTAGTTGAGCATGATGTTGGAGAGATGTATAAACTTGATGTGGGTGAGTATCAAAATCATTAATTTATTTTAAATATTATAATTTTCTTATTGTTATTTCTTTATTTAATGTTTGTATTTTCATATGATTTAGATATGTCAAAGATGAGGTTGGATCCTGTGATTGATTAGAAAAACAAGATGCAAGAAGAATATAATTGACTATGTAAGTTAATACTGTATGTTTATGTTTATTTATTATGTATTAATTATAATATTCATATATCATATATTAACTTTTGGTTACCTTTTGGATGCAAGTAAGCAGGTCTTGATGAAGATTGGCACTTTGGGCCTTTGGCAGTGTTGGAACTTGGTTTTTTTTTTTTTTTTTTTCTTTTTGAATTTGTATGCAACTTTGGGTCTTTGGACTTTGGCTATGCAGATTTGGCAGTGTTGGTATGATTATGAACTACGAGTCTATGATTCTAACTTCTAAGAGCTAAGAACTTGGCAGTTGGTAGTGATGAATGTATGCTTAATATTTATTTGGAAGTATGAATTATGAACTTGGGCACTTGGTAGTTGTTTAAGTATTAAATACTTTGATAATGATGTATGTTTTATTATTTTTATTTTTCATATTCAGTGAAATTTAAAGTTAGTTCACGGTTTTTCGGTTACCGCAATAACCGACCGAAACCGACATAATCGGTTTCGATCGGTTATCGGTATATAGTCAGTCGGTTACGGTCGGTTATAGGGAGTTAAAAAATATAGTCGGTTATTCGGTTATCGGTCGGTTATTGACCGTAATCGACCGATGCTCACCCCTACCTCCATGTACTATATGTAGGTTGTGCTTTACATCAATAAATATACAGTTAATCTCTTTACATGGTATCAAGAGCCATATTACCTTAAGGAGTTTTTTTTTTCCTCTCCTCTTTTGCAAGTCTTATATACATGGCTACCACCACCATTGACATTGTTCACCTCAATGCTCCGTCTAATTTTCCTATCAAACTCACCCCCCTCAACTTTCCTGTCTGGAGCCGCCAAGTTCAGTCCACCTTGGTTAGCTTTAATCTCCTGGGATACATCGATGGTTCTATCAAAGAACCAGCAAAATTCAATGATACTTCACAAACAACTCCGAATCCAGCACATTTGACTTGGTATCGCCAAGACCAGATAATTACCAGTGCTTTACTTGGGAGTTGTTCAGACACCATACAACCTCTTATAGCTTCCGCACCCACTGCGTGTGATGCCTGGCAACGGCTCGTTGCTAACTATGCTAGCGCCTCCCGAGGATGGATCATTTCCCTCAAGGCCAAGCTTACCAGAAATCCAAAGGGTAATCAGTCAGGCACCGCCTTTTTGAATGACATGTGCTCAATAGCTGACGACCTCGCCCTGGCTCAATGCCCTATTTCTGATGAAGACATGGTTGTGTACATTTTAACACAACTAGGGGACGAGTACAGCTCCATCGTGTCTGCCGTTCGTGTCCGTGACAAACCCATTTCTTTGGGAGAATTAACCGATGTGCTCACAGATCATGAGCGTCAGTTGGCTGAAGTTGATGATGCTCGCCAATCTCTTTTGGCTACTGCCAATGCCTCCCAGCGTGGTCCTTCGGCTTCTCGCAATAGTCAGCACTCCACTGCCGATCGGAGGTCCCGCAACAACACCAACAACACGTATGGAAATAATAGACCGAATTGGTTGCACAACAGCTACACTCGACCTGGTGTTGTGTGTCAGTTTTGTCACCTTGTTGGCCATGAAACTCGTGTTTGCCGTAAGTTAGCCCGGTTCTTAAAGGCCCATAATGTGTTTCCCGTGCAGGCTTCTACATTTCCTCAGTCTCAGTCACCTGCAGGTAATTCTATTGTGGGAGCGACTACGCCGTGAATGTTTGACAGCGGGGCGTCTCACCATGCCACACCGGATATGTCTCCTCTGCACACTTTCACCGAGTATAATGGGCCTGATGGGATACGACTGAGCGACGGTAATTCTTTAAACATCTCTCACATTGGTCAGTCATCTATTCTCACTCCTTCTTCCGTGCTCACTCTCCAAAATGTCCTACGTGTTCCACAGTTGCATAATAATTTAATATCCATATCGCAATTGTGCAAAACTAATCAAGTGTCGGTGGAATTCTTTGATTCCCACTTTCTTGTGAAGGATCTTCGAACGGGGATGTCGTTACTACGGGGGGCGAACATTAATGGTGTCTATTATGCACCTCTCCTGCGTCAACCTACATCTAATTCCATGCAGCTGTCTCGCGTTTCCCAGTGGCACCATTGTCTAGGCCATCTGTCTAATAAGGTGTTGCATCGTGTGTTGCAACATTGCAACGTTCCCATATCTATGTCAACACTAAATAAGTTTTCCTGCCAATCATGCAATGTATACAAAAGTCATAAATTACCTTTTCTCCAAAGCACACTTGTTAGCACTAGGCCTCTACAACTGCTCTACACTGAGTATGGGGTCCGACGGAAAAATCTATTGATGACTTTGCTTATTATGTTATATTTGTTGATCACTTCTCTAGGTATATCTGGTTATATCCTATAAAACGAAAGTCTGATATTTCTTTGATTTTTCCTCAGTTTAAAAGGTTAGTGGAGAAGTTTTTTGGTCTGTCAATTGTGTCAGTTTATTATGACAATGGGGGGGGGGGGGGGAGTTTATTAAATTAATTTCGATGTTCAATGCTCATGGCATTTCGCATTTTTTGACTCCTCCACATACACCTGAGCATAATGGCATGGCTGAACGGAGACACAGGCATGTCGTTGAAAATGGAATGTCACTCCTTCACGCTGCTTCTTTGCCTTCTTCATTCTGGTCTCACGCGTTTCAGGCTGTCGTCTATCTCATCAATCGACTTCCAACTCCGGTATTAGGTAATCAATCTCCTTATCAAGTTTTGTTCAAACAAAAACCCAACTGTGATAAGTTACAACCCTTTGGTTGCCTATGCTTTCCCTGGTTGCGTCCCTATAACACCAAGAAACTACAACCGAGGTCACGTCCATGTATTTTCCTTGGCTATTCAACCACCCAATCCGGTTATAAATGTCTAGATTACAGTTCGAATCGCATTTATGTATCTAGACATGTTAGATTTGTGCCTTATGTGTTTCCTTATAATGATTTGCAAAAGTCATCTAATAGCTTTCCTTCTGATTCTCATGATTCTGAATCACGACGTATCTTGTGCAAGTCGTCTACTTTGTCTACACAGGTACAGTCCGTGGGTGTTCCGACATCAGTTCCAACTCCAGTTCCAAGTCCAGTTCCAACACCCGTTCCAACACCAGTTCCAACTCCAGTTCCGACTCCAGTTCCAACTCCCGTTCCAACACCGGTTCCAACACCAGTTCCAACTCCAGTTCTGACTCCAGTTCCAACACCCGTTCCAACGCCAGTTCCAACACCGTCTCCCACTGTCTCAGAAAATGACCAAACCAGCCATCGTTCGTCACCCACTGTTACTACAACCGATCAACTACCCAGTCAGCCCGAGCAGTCGTCGTCCGATGCCTCTGAGTCACAGGATGGGCTGCGTCGCTCCACTAGACCACGTCGTCCTAACCCCAGGTATTCTGACTATGTTATCAACCACACCACAGCGCATCCCTTACCTCCCACTTTAGAACCATCTACCGTCGCTCAGGCCTTGAAGGATGCTCGGTGGAGGAAAGCTATGGACGAAGAGTTTGATGCACTCCAACGTAACAAAACGTGGTGCCTGGTTCCTCGCGGTGTTGGGGTTCCCATTGGTTGTAAATGGGTTTACCGTGTAAAGCGTAAACCTGATGGCTCAGTTGATCGGTACATGGCACGCCTTGTGGCCAAAGGCTTCTTACAGACTGCTGGCCGGGATTACTTTGAGACATATAGCCCGGTTATGAAACCGGTCACCATCAGGTTGGTTCTGACTATTGCGTTGAGTAACAACTGGGGTTTGCGCCAATTGGACATCAACAACGCGTTTTTGCACGGGACTTTACATGAGGAAGTCTACATGGACCAACCGCCCGGTTACGTTGATCCGCTGTATCCATCCCATATCTGTAAATTAACGAAGGCTTTGTATGGCCTTAAACAGGCCCCGCGAGCCTGGTACCAGGAACTCTCTTTGTTCCTGCAGCGGTCTGGGTTTATTAAGTCACAAGCTGATGCTTCACTTTTTGTTTATTCCGCCAAAGGTATAATTGTATACTTTTTAGTATATGTAGATGACATTTTGTTGACAGGTAATAACTCTACCTGGCTTGATCGTTTTGTGGGGTCCCTGTCAGCACAATTTGCCCTTAAAGATCTTGGTACTTTACATCATTTCCTGGGCGTGGAGGTCATTCCTACTGGTGGTGGAATTTTTCTGTCTCAAAGTCAGTATATTACTGGCATACTGACGCAGTTCAAGATGGATGGTGCAAAGGATGTTTCAACACCGCTGGCTGTTTCAGAGAAGTTGGTATCGCGTGACCGTCCGATGTTGCGACTGATGCCACTCAGTTTCGTCGCTTGCTTGGTCTTATGCAGTACTTGGTGATTACACATCCGGATGTGGCGTTTGCTGTCAACAGGCTTTCGCAGTTCATGCATGCACCCTCGGAGTTACACTGGTCAGCCGCCAAACGCCTCCTGCGGTATCTAAAAGGAACTGCTTGTCATGGTTTGTTGCTACGTGCAGG